CTTGCAAGGCATCATTGTAAATGTCAGTACCATTCATTGCTTGGTTCTAATAGGGAGGCCTTCAGCATCTCTGATACCTATCACTTAGCTCACAGCATGCATATACCACTCACCATAGCAATACAGGTTGGGGTCATCTTCAAATGAATGGCAGTATTGTCGACTCTTGAGCTCCACGTACAGGGACAAGACAAGTGTTGACACAAGGTACAACTCAGTAGACAAATGGTTTGCCCAACTTTACTTACAGCAATGTATTCCACTTTTGCAGATTGAAGCAAATTATGGAGAAGGGGGGAAATAGTAGTGGGAATAGATATTAAAACGCACAATGAGGGTTTTAAATTATTTTTAATCAGAACACATGAATCATTATTAAGCTCCCTGAACTGTAAAACACAATGTGTAGACATAGGGTGTAGACACCTTCCATTCCAAGAAATCCTCCTTCCATGATTGTGGAGTAACCACCAGAGAAGACCACTTGAACACAGGTTTAAGTCAATAGAACAGCTTTATTGCCTGGCAAGAGGTTAGCAAATATGCTGGATGCTCAGGATCCCAGTGTAGACATAAACCTTTCCCAAACACAGAAATCATATCCTGGCTTGACATACTTCAATTAACAAGAAAGATTAGCCAAAAGCAGCACTGCAGAAGCCAAAAGGCAAGGTTAATACATTGAGAGACTTCCTTAGAACGATGGACTTTGATGGGTTAAGTTTTTGTTTTCATTTTGGCAGGTGGTCCTATCTATGGGATGAGTTTTATGCCGTGAGTGAATGATACTTCCATTGTGGAATCAATTGTGCTAAAGTTTAAGGGCCTATTAAAGTTTGGGTGCCTGGTCTATCATGAGAAATTCCCACTACCCAGAGTTTGCATCACCCAGATGGTTTATATCTTATCGGAACTCACAGTGATGATCAATTGAATGATGATGTAAAGCAGAGAATTTATTCTCTCTGGTATTTCAATTTTAGAATCAGGCCTTCTAAAGGGTGACTTCAAAACCTTTATTTGTTACAGAATACAACAGACACGTTTACGCCCTTTTAGACCACCATATCTCAGTAGAAAGTAATCTGTTGAAGTCAATACCAGCGGAGAAGGCAAAGAGAGTAGCTGCTGTCCACTTCCTGCATTCTAACTGGCTTTATTCCTGTGCTTGAGTTCTGCCATACCCCAATATATAATTAACAATGTCATCAGGATTTAATCTGCCCTGGACAGCTTCCTTTATACACACAGGGGCATAAAATATGTATTGTATTAAAAGGGCTTTGCGTGATAGAGCGTTGTTCTGATCCTGCGGAGCCATTGACAAGGCCCTGAGTAGTACAGAGCCTTGCAGAATGCAACAAATCTCCCATTTTCCCACAAGAGGAAGTGAGATATACTATCAGATGTAATGCATGCACTTAACATAAGATATGAAAACGCACAAACGCACCGGCAGAACTTAGAGAATTAGACCATGTTTGAATCTCGCCCCGTGGAACTTGCCGCTCTTTGGTTTCTGACAGTTGTTTCCACTTGATTTCCCACACTGCATTCACCTATTCCAGAACGCAAGCAAGATACACGAGTCAAGCAGAGCTTTCCTCTGCTCAAAATGGACAGAGAGCCTCCTTAGCAGTGAGGGAATCTCAGTTTCCCACCAGAAGCTCTGCTCCTTTCTGTAGCCTCTTGAGTGGGTTCTATCATTTGTAACTAACATTTTTTTCCTTGTAGAAACAAGGCAAGGGAGCCAATAGTAGACAAGTATTAAAACCCTGAGTAAATTCAGAGCACAGTCCACTCAGAGTATTGATACCTCTTGCTAACACAGCTGGAGTCATGTCCGGTGCACAGTGAATGCATAGAGGTGATCGGTTCCTACCCTGGTAAGAGTCATTTTGATTATGTATTTGACTAGACTCTGCCTAATAACAACAATAATAACAATAGTAACAATAAATACATGGTGGTCATTGACCACCAACTAGGTCACAATCAGCTACATGTTGTGTCATGCACTGGAATTAATCTATAAATGAAAAGCTGGAGTTGCAGATAGTTATGACCTATGGAATGTAGGTTCTGGGAAATAAACTCCAGTCCTCTGCAAAAGCAATACACACCATTCACCACAGGGTCATCTCTCCAGCCTCTTAATACTTAAAAGAAATGATTGAAAGAAAGGAAGGAAGGAAAGAAGAAAGAAAGAAAAAAAGAAGGAAGGAAAGAAAGGGAGGAAGGAAGGAAGGAAGAAAGAAAGAAGAAGGAAGGAAAGAAAAGAGAAAGAAAGAAGGAAAAGACCCACATTGGCTGATTATTTTAGTGGCCCAACTATATGCTGCTCACAAGAAATTCACCTCAGTAAATGAGCTTGAGATATCCAATGATAGAAATGGAAAGGACAACAAATGTTGCACCGAATAATCAAATCCCAAGCAATTTGGGGCGGCTATGCCCACAACCAGTAAGACAGCATGCAAGCCCAAGTCAGAAGAGTACATATCACTTCATTTCCATGAGGGGAGAGATCCAGTAACCCCCCAACCTCAGTGCCCTCAGAGATTAACATGCAAAGATCGTTTGACACACAGGCAGAGTGGCATGGTTTTCAGGGCTACAGAAGGAAAGAATCTCGTCTTTTCAGGAAAATGAGTATGTGGGTGATTGTGCTCATCAAATTTTAGGAGGAATAAAAGACACAAAGAGGCCATGAAATCAAAATACAGATGTTTAAGTCATGAAAAGAGGAGTGAGGCTATGGAATGGAAGAATGGAAGGAGGGAGAGGACAGTGTGAAGAGTGATGGAAAGAAAGCATGAAAACAGGAGCTGTGCCTTTTTCCACTTCTAAACCCTTTAAGAGTGTCCAGACATTCATGACTATATTCATTATTTCTGGGAGCAGCCCCAGCCCCTCTGTCGCATGTGTATCTGGGGCTGTGGAACGTGGTAGCAGTGAAGATGATGACTTGGATCTTGAGGAAGAAAAGATTATTGTGGCCATAAAATTGTCCTCCCAGAATCCCTATGCCGAAGCTTCACCCCCAACAGCTGCATTTGTCCACAGAGCCACCAAAAGGGGCACCAAATGATTAGGAGTCCTGAAGCAGCATGGCCTGTCCCTGTGGTTATGTTGAAGGCAGCTACCAGCCAGCAGATGAAGGAAGACACAGGAGAAACTCACCCTATGAGACCTGTACCTTCCACTCTCAGCCTCCAGCTATGAGAGAAAACAACACAAAACAAAACAATTGTAGTTCTCTGCTTCTTAAACTTTGTTGCACTCATCCTAGAAAACTAATATGTTAGTCCATGGTTGAGGGCTAACATGGGTGACAGATGTCAGATCCTGGATTCTGACACACACTGAGATTTTGGGTCATTCCTCCTGGAAGTGTGTGGGATATGTGTGTGCGTGTGCGTGTGTGTGTGTGTGTGTGTGTGTGTGTGCACGTGCACGTGTGTGTGTATAATTTTTTGTGTGTTGAAGAGATTTCTCTGAAGTATTAGATTGTATGTGGGCAAGGGGAGTTAGGACATGAGTCTCCAGTTAAAAAATCAATGCTGAATTTTATATTTCCCCCTTGCCAAATTGAAGTAACAAGTTAAAAAAATACAGACAGGGATTTATTATTTTCTTCCTACAGACGAAAACTTAGGACATGGGACACCTAGATGGTTTGGTGGCTGAAGGCGCCTGTCACGAAGCCCGATGATCTAAGTTTGATCCCCCAAGATACATGTAGTAGAAGGAGTATGCTGATTCCATATTGTTGTCCTCTGAGGTCCGCACATTCACAGGCACACACCAAAATCAAATAAACAAACAAATGTAATTAAAAAAATCTTAGGATGTAATATATTATCAATTAAATATATCCAAGCTTGGGGCCAGGGTAAGCTTGGTTCTGGGAGGATTTCACAATACACCGATCCCTGGGTTTGATCTCTTGTACTCCTTTGTGCTCTCAGCATTGTTCTGGGGGTGGAGATAGGAGGGTTAGATGTTCAAGGACATCTCCAACTACACAGCTGCCTTGGAACTAACCTTGTACACTGGAACACTACCACCCTCAACAACTGTTTCACATAATGTTTTCAAATATGTTTGCTATTAATTGATAAATAAAATAAGGATGATTTTCTGTTTGATTTAAACAGGAAGAAATGAATTGGGTATAAGACGATGCTAAACCAAATCCTGTCTATTAAGTAGCTTTAAAATAATTTATATCACAGGTGTGACTAGCAAATGTGTTTAGATGCACTTGTTACTTATTTCTATCATATGCAAACATATTTCAAGTGAGATAAGACATTACAATTTACAGAGTTTGGCACAGAATTTGTCAGAGGAGGTGGTGGTTTTGTAATGTTTTCCCCTACATTTTTATCTGATTTGGCTTAAATCCTCTTTATTTGTCACTTGATTTTAATACTTTTCATTGCTTCTACAATTAAATAGTAGCTACAGCTGTTCTGTAGCACCAAGTTGATTTAGACAATTTCCTGGTCATCTACAGCAAATCTGTTTGGAATGATTCATTAAAACGTAAATGTAGACCTTGTGAGGAAACAGACCATTTCCTATTCCCCTGCTGTCCCTCCCGACCCCCACTGAAAAGTTTATGAAAATAATTCATCTGAAAATTTAGTTCTAATCTTCAAAAGCCAGGAGAGGCCACAGGGAAAACCTACCACAGTTATATAAAAGTTTCCCAAGTAAGTGAGTCATTTGAGAAGGCCAAGATTGGATTTTAAATAATTACTCGGAAGGGAAGGAGCATTCGGTAACATGAGCCATCCTCTGCTTTCTCTGGGGATATGGGACTGAACAGCATCAAGAGTTCTGATGGCATCAAGGTTTGCCTTCTGAGTAACAGCAAATTACATTACCCACGAGTGATCGAAGATCAGTGATAACTCACAAATCTAAATAAAACTGGCAGACAGTAGTGGGTGTAGCTTTGTGGTGATAATTACAGAAACAAAGGACATTGATTGTTGTTCAAAATCATGCTTTATATGCCTTTCGCGGAAATCAGGGATTCCATGCAAATATCACCCAAAGTGAGGGCTTGTGTCCAGTATGAAGCTGTTTCAATGAGCATAACGCAAAAGTTTATTGAACCCAGTAATGTTGAGTCTACACATAACATGTTATACATAGCATATCTGAATATGCAAGAAAATATGTACCAGGATAAAGTTTTGTTTTTTACTAAAATTAAAATTATAGGTAAATTCTAAGTATTTTCATTCTGAAAACCTTTGTAGACACTTGTTATTCTTCACTTGGGCATGTATTCTGTACAAACTCACATTTACAGTTCTGATGAGATTCCCCTTCAGTTGCCAGGAGAAACATAAACCCGGGCGTCGCAGGGATGTAAAATATTTTTTACAGCAATGAAACAAGAAACATTTGTCAAGATTGCCTATGTTTTGGAGCCTTATCCAGAAGAATGAGAAGCTACGGAGCGATTATTGACCACCCAGGGATGATGAGCCTTTGGTTGCTGAGGCCTGCACTGACCATGACCAGCAGTGGCAAGCCTAAACATTCATCTTTTAGATATTGTGGTTATCCCGAAGAAACCCTAGAGACAGGACAGCATCCTGTTTTTGCCTGGACAGGGCCAAAAGCCTTAGTCGTCACTAGTATTTCATCATGGGGTGGCTGAACACTGATGATAACTCTGGGTTCTGGTGTGCTAGTCTTCTAGTTCACAGTCAGCTGTGAGGAGCATTCACCCTGGAGGTACTGCCTCACCAACCAGAACTTGGATGTTTCCATTTCGTTCTCTGCTGTGGGCCTTTCCCAAAGAAGTCACGGTTAACAATTGAGTTGTAGTGAGCCGGAGCTATTGTGATGGGCACAAAACAAGCAACAAGAGTGACAGGAAAAATGTTAGCAGTCAATGGTAATAGTAATAATAATATCAGTCATACGTTTTCTTTGGAGAAAGGTCTTGGACTGCCCATCAGGAGTCCAGTTTAATCGCGTTTTTTTCCCCTGCCTTTGCCTTCTAAGAGTTTAAATTTTGAATATCAATAAAGCATCAAATACGCAACTTGAAAATGCTTTCCTTATTCCATAGACTACTCTCCATTTTGAACACGTTCACGTTGAAAGCTTTTTAGAGTGCTTTACCGGAAGTATGTACTTTTGATTTGTCCTAAGACTTTGATATGCTGTGTCAACCAATGCCAAATTAAGTACCTAGAACATCTCCCTCCATGCTCTTTACTACGGATAAAGATATGCTTGGATGTTTCATCCCTTTGAGTTGATATTTTGCACACTGTAAGATAAATACCAGCTTTATTCTGCTGTAAGTAAGAATTCATTTTCCTCCAGCAGTATCTATGTAACTTTGGAACACCCTTGCTGAAACTTAGCCTGGTATATTTGTGTGGATTTGTTTCTAAAGACCGTGTTGTTGCATCATTTAATCTATGTAACTGCAATCATACTGTTTTCATTGGCACAGGCCTATAACTTTAAACCAGAAAGGTAACAGGAGCTTTGGTTTCCATGCCCAATATTTGTTAGTTGGGATGTTTGGTCCTTGTTTGCCAACTGACTAAGTATAGACTCTCATGGGAGACTGGGGGATGGGCATATGAGGGTACTCGGAAGACAGTTGTCTGAGGGGGAAAGACAAGTCATGAATGCAGGTAGCAGGATCCACCTGCTGGAAGAACCAGATGCTGTTAGAAGAGGAAAAGAAGCGGATGAGGGCAGTAGCGACTTCCAACTGCTTCCTGATTACCTCAGCATTGGTGGTGGCAGAGCTCTGCCCTTCCTGCGTGGACTGAGACTCACTGTGACAGTTTGAATAAAACTATGGTGGTAATGCTTGCCACAAGAGCTCTTGGGAGGTGCTCAGGTGTTGGTGGCGCTCTCTTCACTTTGTCTAGAAGTGGATACACAGCACAATACTTTATTAAAGTTTCCATACTGTTGCACCTCTCTAAAAGTGATTTTTTTTTGCGGGGGAAGGCAACAATGTAATGAATCCGGATGGTCATTGTAAAATTTGAAAGGTCTTTGAGATAGTTCTTTTAAATTTCATCCACTTCACAGGTGTGCTTTCCGCTTGTCTTTACTTCCTTATTAATATCATACTACACAGCAAGAATTATAATGATGCAGGAGTTTCCAGAACTCTCCTTGTGCTGAGCTGGCCACAGTTACTTTTGAACCTATTTAAATCAGCCATGTTTTTGCATTATTCCTCTTATGAAACTAAGAACAATAATTATCCCAAGTGAAAACTGTGAATTCCAATCCAAAAGCCTTATGCTTGCCCAGTAAGCAGTCCCCTTTTAGAGATGCACAAAGATGTACAGATGCAAAAAAAAACTGATGAAGGAAAGAAGTAGTCATTATAAAGATTATAAAGACAAGAAAAAGACAAAATAAACATGTCTACATTGAGTAAGATCCTTTTGTCAAATTATGAAAGAGAATAGTAACATAACATACTTTTTGGGAAAAATATCTTTTTGCTCTTCACAGTAAAATTAAAAACATAAAATTGGATGTTTTTGTTTTAGTTCATGTACTGGATGCTCCTACAGACTTTTGGAAATGAGACCATCATTAAGATTATTAAATGAAAGTTATGAGATTATAAAATATGTAACGATATGAAGTCTCTCATCTTACAAGCAGAAGGAATGAAGATTAGTGTTTGAGAATTTTTTTTCTCTCACTCTTTGTAGATTCCTAGTTGAGCAAATAGATGACATTTATGGGGTCTCATGGGGATTTGGGGGAACATTCTGGGAACAGCCTTGGGTATGGGCCCCACCCACCCCAGCAGCATGTAGACCTCTGTGCTCTGACTCGCTGAATCAGAGCCAGTTGAGGAGTCTGACTTAATGAGGAACCACTTCTATTCTGCAGACTTCAAAGCAGGATGGCTCTTAGGCCCACAGCTCTGCCTCATTAATATGGGTGACCCGGAATGGATGTAGACAGGTGTTTACACTTATGACTTCTCGCCAACCGAATGGTCAGCTTAACTTGGAGTGATTTGCTCCTGTGTGCCAGGACTTTGACAGTGCAGTGGCCATCTCCAGGTGCTGTTAGCATTTATCTGCTGAGGCTGCTGCACTTATTGAGTCTGTGCCAAGGCAATCCTGGTCACCTGCTTCAAAATGTTAAGAGTCTAAGCTGAGAATCTCTTTAAAAAATCCCTAAAGCTTTTTGTGAAATATCTCACAATGTCTTGAAAAGGCCTCAAACTTAAACTGGTTAAACTGAAAATGAAACAGCAGGCAAGCTAGAGAGCTGTTAGCCTATTCCCTGGCCAGATGGTGCTCTGACTGACTCCTGCAGGAATTATAAAGTATTCTTATTTTCAGCCCTTTCAGTTAGATCCTAGGTCCTGACCTGCCTAACATTTTTCATGCACAGAGAGTAATGAGCTGGGAGTTGAAACTGGCTTCACTTGCCTTCAACAAAAGCAAATAAAACAGTGAATTTCTATCCTACATTTTCATAATAGCAATCTCAATTGCACCACTGAATTCTAAAGGAAAACTCAAAATAAGTTTTATAACTACTGACTTGGCTGCTTTTGTCTCTGGATTTATTATTATTATTATTATTCATGCTACATACAACAGTTTCTTTTCCTATAACATTGAGTATTTAAAAATGTAGACCTGGAGGTCACAAGGAAAAAATGTGTAAATCCATGGAAAATTATTTGCCATCACTGTCTAGCTCCACCTCTCCTGTTCCAAACCATCTACATATTGATCATTATGAGTCTTCGAATGTGAGCACTTGAGATTTAGAAATAGCAAGCCACATGATTACAAAGTAAGACATTAACAGTTTGTTAGTTTCTAAGACTTCGGACCAAGATCTTCATTATCCAGAATGCTTAAAACAGTGTGGTTTTCCATTCTATCATTCTCATTTTTCCCATTTGGTTTTGCTCCAGAGTTCCCTCAAAAGGAGCCAAGAATTCCAAGGTTTATATCTCTTCTGGGAAGAATTCTGGAACCGCAGAGCAAATGCTGGAAACCATGCAAAATCCTCTCAGATCTGAACCCTCAGAAGGGTTAAGGGGAAAGTCTGCTATTGCTAAACTTAATTCCCCCTCTAGCTGGAAGACAGCAGAAATGCACTAGGGCCAGAGCTGCAGCCCCAGGTACATTCTTGCTGTCCCTTTTGTCAGACCTATAAGTAACTCGAATGTCCGCACATCTATCACCCGGGTTTCCCTTTTGCTTTTATTTGGATCGGTTCTGCAAGAGTTAAGTGTTTTCTGATCATGGAATAAAGAAGCTGAGATAGAAACCAGAAACTGGGAAAAGAAGCCCCGAGCGCCTTGAGACAGAAGTGGCCCCAGTTTCGGTTTACAAGCCTGCAGGGTTGCTGTACATATGAACATTGCTGCAGAGTCCAGTCCTTGGCCACAGAACACAACACACCACCACCACCACCACACAGCCCTGTGCGCACTGAGGATGTCAGTCTCTGGGGAAAGCAGTTAGGAAAGGATGCTGTTCTGTGGCTTGTCCTCGAAGGCTCTGGCTCACCCGTTCTTGCCTCATTTCATTGGTGTCTAGCTTGTTGATAGCGAAATAATACCGCGTGGACCTAGCTGGCCACGTAGTGGGAAGTCAAGTCTTCTAATACCTCGTTTGTCCTCGATAATTTTAGGCTTTATCAGGAGTGCACCACCCAGAATGTTAAATGAAGTCAACAAGAGGAGAGCGTTCTCTAGGTGTCTGCTGGCATCAGTATTAGCGGGAGGCAGCCATTTGACAATTATTTCCTTAGCACAGCAGACGGTAAAGAAAAATGTTTTCATTCATCCGCAAATGACTAACATTTTATTGATGTTTCGAAATGCGGCTGAATACTACCGCACTTTCAAATCCCGAGCGGGTTCTGAGAATTAAGCCTGAATACTAATCACCTCAGTAGTTCCTGCTGCAAACCCTGCGGTTAATTGCTGAGCCTGGCAGGGAAATCTTCTGCAGGGAGGCGAGGTTGCTTAGAGGCTCCGGGATAAGTCAGTCTGGGTGGTCTCGTGGTCTCGGGCGGTGGGAATTGCTGGCCCTACCCCATCTACCCTTAGACTTGGTGATAAATAAAAATAAAAATTAAAAAGCCACCCTGGGTACCACCGACATCTATGACTCCCTGCCTGCCTGTCAAGAGCTCAGCTTGGGGAGGAAGCCGGATGCTGACCCCTGCAGAGATCATTGCTTCAGTGCGCTCTGCCGCGGGGCCCTGCTAGCTTTCAGAAGAGGGAGTTCAAATGAGCAGCAGTCCGAGAGGAACGTGTGTGTGTGTGTGTGTGTGTGTGTGTGTGTGTGTGTGTGTAAATACCGCTACAGGCGGAGGGTGTGGGAAGCCAGGAGGAGAGGGCCAGTTATTTCTAACTACCCGTTTTCCCCCACTTCCATGTTCACTCTTAAACTCCGCAGGCAGCTCTAGACTCAGATTCTCTCCCTGATTTGTAACCCACTCCCTCCCCTGAAGAAGTCTAGGAGGCTGAAAATGAGTGCCAGAAGGGAAGGAAATTAAAAATAAAGAGTGGACTGTGGGGTGACTCCAAGCCATGGACCCTGCTCTGCCCTGACCTGGGCCTGGGCGTTGGCTAAGCAGGTGCCAGGCTGCAGCTTGGGGAGCTGAGGTTGCTGCTCAGAGGATGGGAGCCCACACCATCTGGGAGGTGGTGAAAATAAATACAACTGGGACTCCTTGAAGGCGAGGAATGTCTTGGCTTCACCCGAATGTGCGAGCCTTCCACCCAATAGGCTCAAATGGGTTAAACTGCCTCTTACATAACAGGACCGCCTAGCTCCACACAATTAAAACACTTGATTGCAGCCTCCTCCAACTCTGCATCCCAGCAAGGCCCGCCCATCCCTCCCAGTGCGCCTGCGTGCTGCGCGCGCTCCCGGACCCACACGCGCCCTATGCACTCCGTGTTCCTCTCACACACGCGCACACCCGGTGCTGATACTACACGCGCGCCGCGCGCGCGCACACACACACACTCACGCACAAGTTAGTGTCAAGACGCACAGAGAAGGGCAGGCACCCAATAGTCCGCACAGGCGGACTCACACACTAGCTCTGATCCACAAGGCCCGGATCGCTCCACTGTCCCTGCAAAGCCCCAGTGCCACCACTGTCCATGCACACCTCCAAAAGAGGGTAAAAAGACATACCACCCCCCCAAAAAGAAAAATAACGGAGAGAAAGACGCACAGAGAAAGACGAGGGGAGAGAGGAGAGAGAGAGAGAGAGAGAGAGAGAGAGAGAGAGAGAGAGAGAGAGAGAGAGAGAGAGAGAGAGAGAGAGAGAGAGAGAGAGAGAGAGAGAGAGAGAGAGAGAGAGAGAGAGAGAGAGAGAGAGAGAGAGAGAGAGAGAGAGAGAGAGAGAGAGAGAGAGAGTTAAAAAATATCACCACAAAAAACAGCCAACTCACTCACTGTCTTGGGCGTCATGATGGCGCCGACCCCAACTTGAGCACTTTAAAGTCCGGGTGCCCTGGGAGGCCCCAGGAACTGAACGCACCCGAGGGCAGGCCAGGCCCCGGTGCCCTGACTTCCCAGCCAAGCAGTCCGCACACCTCCCTTGCTTGTGCTGCCAAGCCTTACCAGACCTCGGCGTCCTAGCCCGCTGTCTCCCTAGCTTCCCTGTCACTCTCTTTCCCTCTTTTTGATCTATCTCTTTCGCTTCCCGGCCCCCCTCCCTGCCTGGTCCTCCATCCCCGGGCGGGGTTGCTACGGAAACGGCCGCTTGGCAACGCGCGCGAGCCCGGGGGCCGCCGGCCGCTGCTGCGCCCCGCGCTGCCTGCGCCTCCTCCCGCGCTCTGCTCGTCGCCTCGCAGGACAGTGTGCGGCCGCCGGGGATTAGCCACGCTCCGGACGCGGCCCGGCGCCCCGGAGGAGGTGGAGCGCGGTGCCAGGGGGCGGGAGGGGAGGGAGGGAAGGCGAGCTGCAGACGAGCAGAAAGGAGGCGAGGCCGGGGAAAGAGGGAAACTACGCCTGACAACTAGGGAGGGGGCGAGAAAGAGAAGAAACCCACCCACCCACTCAGAAAAAGGAAAAGAGGGGAAAAAAATCTCGTGTGGCGCGCCGCCTGGTTACCGGGCAGCCTCGCCAGCAGCAGGGGGTGGGAGCCGACGCTGCCGGAGAGCGAGCAGCTTGGCAGGCACGGACATGGTGCTCCTGGCGCAGGGCGCTTGTTGCTCGAACCAGTGGCTGGCGGCGGTGCTTTTAAGCCTGTGCTCTTGCCTCCCGGCTGGGCAGAGCGTGGACTTCCCCTGGGCGGCCGTGGACAACATGCTGGTGCGGAAAGGTGACACGGCGGTGCTCAGGTAGGGACCGCGCGGCGCCCTCTCCACTCCTGCCTCAGTCTATCTTCCTGTCCCCTTCCCTCTCTCGCCTTGCTTTACACCCAGCGCGAATGCTGCTGTTGCACACTAGCAAAACACCACACCTCTGGCTACCCACGCGTGACCCTTTCCGGGTGTCCTCGGATCCCGGGGCAGGGGCTGGCTGGACGGGGGGAAGAGAGAGAGGGAGACACTTTCTGGGCAGTCCTGGGTGAGGAGTGTGGGGTATGATGGAGGGACAGGTGCCACTTTGGAGCTGGGTCTCCGCTCTGCTCTGCTGCAAGGGATACTCCAGGAGTCTGACAAGTTTACAGGGTTTGTTTCTGCTTCACTCCGTAAGCGACTTTTCCCAACTGCTGGCTCTATGCTCCATTTATTTTCCCTGTCACTCGAACAGTAAGACCAAAATATTCCCTGTTCCGCTCTTTTTTTTTCTTTTAGCGGTTTTCTTTTCTCATTTCTCCCTTCTCCTTAACCTCTCCCGTTTCTCCACGCCCCTCTTTTCTCAACCCTTGTAGCCTTCACTTTCTTCTTTATCCCTGTTCCTTGTCTGTTTCCCGTTTCACACTCACCTTCTCAGTTCTACAGCTGTTGTTTCTGATACTGCCCCCTTTCTCCAGCCTTCCCTTTCTCCCAATTTCTGGTCCTCACCATAGCCCTTATTTCTCCCCTCCCAGACTCTCTTAGAGCCTCCTCTCCATCATCTCCCCGGGTGCACTTTTTACTGTCACACCCACAAGCCTGTTCCAGGACCATCTTCAAACCCCGATGAATCTCCGGAGGCTACGAGAGAGCACACTCCCTCTCAGCTCTTCCATCCTGTGAGGATCACTTCATGTTCAGATTCTCCCTTCTAGCATTTAAAAAAAAAAAAGGTGCACACTCCACACTCACCGCCACACGCCTGCACCCTCCCCCACTTCCCTTCCTCTTCTCTCTTAGGCTTCACCTCTTTTTCTCCCCTTATTATCACTGAGCTTGAACAGTGAAAGGATACCCTAGCCTGGCTGTCCCCCCATAAGCCACACTGCCAAGCGTGCCCCGGAAAGATTCCCTTTCCCGTTGGATATAAATTGAGGATCAGTAGTGCTTAGAGCTGAACAGGGCTTACTGCCCTGTCTTGTCCCTCTGCTTCCCATAGACCCACCGATGCTGGCACCCCCACCTGGTTCGCTTCCCCAATCTTCCTGGAAGATCTTCAGTCTCTCCACTGGGTGGTAGTTTGCCTATGAGTACAGATTGCACAGGGCCAGTATAATACATGCACGTCGAAGGTGGGGAGAAAGAATGGCATCTATTTCCGCTTTTAAACCGGGCGACGTTTTAAATTTAACCATGTGAGCTGGAGTATGACTTAAAGCTTTTTTAAATGCGCTTGAGGCCACTTTCACAGATAAATACTGATGCACATTTAGTAACATGTTTTAATAGTGTATTATTATTGTTATGAGTCTAACACGAAAGTAATGGATTTTTCTCACATTAAAGTAGGATAACTTTTTTATTTTCTACAAAGGCGATGGGCATTGTATTATGGGGGCAGATGTGAATTAACCTTCCTCCTTAGCTTGTGATCCTGGGTTTCTTGTAGAAGTTTGAAAAGCAGCATTGGACACAATCCTAAATCACAGAAATTGAACCGTTTGTGTTTGAAGTAGAAAATGGCCAACGTGTGGTGTGGCAAACAGCACTGTTTTCAGCCTGAAGGATTTAATCTTATCACTCACACACTCTGGTGATATGTCTTGGCAATCCCTTTCCTAATGAGCAATTTAATAAGTGGTATGCTCAATTAAAGTGTGGGGATCATGTTCTGCTCCCAGGAGAGCCTGGCTCTGACAGCTTAGAGCGCCAGCTTGTAGGGAGGGTGCCTACTGTGATGAGTTTGGTGTGGCCCTGGCTTGCTTTCAGGCTTCAGACCTCATCCATTGTATGACACAATTTTATAATATTCTAGAGAACGCTTGACTCGCAAAACTTGTCAGATATATTAACCAATTGCTTATAATTTTCAATACCATTTTTGTCACTTGAAGCTCATTTTATCTGATTTACTTTCTAATATTGATTTCATAACTCTATATGAATTCTCCAATTATTGAACTTTTAGATTATGCAAATTCAGGGGATGATTTATTATTATTTATTTACAGGAAATTGCGTCTCCATTAAAATGTTGAATATTGCTCTCAGTGTTCTGTGACTTCTTCAGCCTCTGGAATCGATTCTCTCATAAGCTGATACAGGTGGTCTAGGGGACCAGCAGATGGGGCCAGCATGGGGGGCATGTTTTCATTAGAAGTAAATACATAGGGAGATACATATTTCAAATTACTCTTGGTGCTACTTGAAACTCACTAGAAAAACGGAACTCTATCCTGCAAACACAAACACCACTTTCTAACCAGAGTGTGTGAACTGAGTGCCTAAGAAAACACCTGACAGGACAGTGTGACAGTATGTTCTATTTTTTACCACAGCACACTCCTCAAAGCATCTCATAGCAAGCGAGTGGTGAGGGAACAGTTATCAAATACCTTGGAGTGCTAAAGCCTGGCTGTTCAAACATGCCAGTCAGCAATGCTGGTTCTTGTCGCTATTAATGAAGGGCAAGGTCAAAGGTCTCCTGATACCCTTCTGTCTCCAAAGTGCCAAGGAGTCCATTTTCAGGAAGAGAATGACAAAAAAAAGCCCAAAACAAAACAAAACAAACAAACAAACAATAAAACCCCAACCAAACAAAAGAAACTTCCCTTGAGTGAAGCTGTGAAACAAAGGGAATCCATCCTGTCATCTTCCTACCATCTGCCACCATATAAATGACAATTGATCACCACATAGGTCACCTACGGGAGATACAATCAGCTATAGGCATAGGTGGTCTGCCAGGGCTTCAGGTCTTCCCTCTAAGTTTCCAGGCCAGTGAAGGCTTTGCAGGGTAGACCCTGTGAACCGTGAACCCTTCAGTAGAAGAACTGTTTGGACCTCCCTGTGTGTCTTTTAGTGCTGATGGTGTTCAGTCAAGTGACTCCTACCTACACTTTGGAGTTAAAGAACACTCGACTCTCAAATAGCACCTTGCAGTTCTCTGTAAATATACTTACATCAGTTGTGACAATACAGACATCAGTCCTTACCGAATTTACCCACATTACTCTTCACAAAATGCGTTCACTGGTAAATGGGAAGGTGTCCTTTTCCTCCAGCCTTCAGGTTGCATTATGTTTTGTACTATGTGTCAGATTTGAGTCATAGTGCATTCTGGGATGAAGCAGAGGATAATGGAGGTAAGAACGTCAGTGGCCATGCATCAGAGCTGTTAGCCCTGAAGAGCCAAGGCAAAGTTCTGAAGTTTGTATGCTGGTTAGATGATTCCTTTCTAGTGTTTGTTCATGATAACTAAAGCACCAACCAGTTGCTCCATTCTCACTTCTTTGGCAGATAACGCTGCATAAACAGGTGGATAACTAGCGTTTCATGGTCTTTGTACGCAGGGCCATGAACGACATCCCCATTTGCAGCCCCTTTTCCCCAATCTGTTTCCCATCCAGCCATTCTGCGTGAATTTTGTACATTTCCGGCCGCTTCTCCTGATAGCAATTCAAGGTAACTTATTCTGTGTTTTCCATGCTTCTTATCAAAGAACGGAAGTGAGGGAAGTCTTCCCCTTCTAAGCGGCACATCTTTTTACTGTAGCAAAATGAACACAACTCAGCCACTCTCTGTACTGGGCACCACGCTATGACTTCTGGTGAGAAGTGGGCGGGGTCAGGCACATGTACTAAAGCGCATGCTTCCACAGAGGACAGGCGCTGCCAGAACCACGCAGTCTTGCCAGTAGACTTAGAAATGGAGCCTTGAGTAGGCCAATGCATTTTCTGTTTTTAACCCTACATTAAGTAGTCTCCTTTGAAATGGATGCTGTTGGCGACAATCAGTGATTTATGTATGAGGATGTGGAATCGCCAATGAATAAAAGTCGATTAGGTGTTCTTTGGGAAGGCGATTGGGATGTCCTCTTGTAAGCTGAGCTCCTCCGTGTACACCACGGCACCATGCTGTCCCAGTAAGCTGTTCAACCACACAGAGGCCATAAAATTATATTGCTTAGATACTGTTTAAATGCTTATGTTTCTGACTTGGTAGAGTACTTAAAAGGCACAATCTCAAAGCTCTTAAGTCGATTTTCTTCCTCAGGAATGAAGATACCATATTTGGGTTTATTTGTCAACTTAACCCACCAGGGAATAGGTAACCCCATGAAGGAATGGAGTCCATCAGATTGTCTTTTGGGGATGTTTGTGTGGAATTTTACTTGGTTGCTCATTGATATGAAAGGGGCCAGCACACATTAGGTAGTGCCATCCCTAAGCAAGTGGGCCTGGGGTATATACGGAAGGTATCTGATCAAGGGGGGGAGGAGGGGGGAGTCAGTTATCACAGTTCTCCATGGTCCATGATTCAGTCCCTGCCTCCAGGTTCCTGCCTGGAATTCCTGCTTTGGCTTCCCTTGTTGATGGACTGCAGCTGGTAAGCCAAATGTCTTCTCCTGAGCTGTTTCTTTGGTCATCCTTGTATCATAGCAGCAGGGTGACGCTAGGACGGCAGGGATGATGGGTTGTCTAATGAGCCTGGGAAACCGGTCCCCAGCATGGGGCTGAACAGTGGTGGTGTGTCATCTGTGCCGATGCTCAGAACGGTTCCAGCGCTAGGTATGCCACATGGCAAATTAGCTTCAACAACATATTAATTACAGAACAATAGAGTGCCTTTAAAAAAAATCTCCAGATGATTGTTTTGGCCAACCTAGTTCAGAATAATTCATAATTTGATTTGGTTGTGTACTTTTTGCATATAAGCCTATGAATGAGCTTATTGTAAATATTTTGTTTTTTTTATAATTGAACTAACTACTCTACTGCATGAGAACTAATACTCTGTTTTTAGAGGTGTATCAGGACAGAGACAGTATGGTCAGTGTA